AGAGCGGGAAGATGTAGCGGTTGGAGAGCAGAGCAACGGGGAGAAGAGAAACAGTAGAAGGACACAAAGAAGATGCTGCAAGAACAGCCTCCAAAGAAAAGGAACGGGGGAAGCACTGTTAGGCTATTCGGGATGAACAGCCTTAAGGTGGGAGCAGTGTAACATGTTGCGCAACANCAGTGGCATGTGGCGGTAACGTAGCGCTCCCTTCCCCCCATCCCCTCCACGGTGATGTAACGTGCAACGCGCGGTAACAGTGTTGCTAGGCTATACACCACGTCACAGTAGTGACGTGGCGGGCGACACTAGCAACAGCGAACGGAATAAAAGCTGGCTGAGCAGCAAGCGAGAGTCAGTGCATTATCAACGAGTTCTCAGTTCGCAAGTCAGCGAGCGGAAGACTTATTGTGTGCTTTCGAGACTTTGTGTGTGCTGTAGTACAGTTATATTGGGAGTGTGTAATTCAGAGAGACTTGTATAGCTCCCGCATTATTAACACGTGAAGACTACTGAAGATAGTGTTAAGAGATTTTATTGTAGGGTTTGTAAAGTGTGGAAACCCGTAACATTGTTATAATTAATTGTAGCTGTTACTTGTAGGTTGTTGAATAAACCAATTAACAATCTCTACAGCGTATTCAGTAATGAAACACGTTACAATACTATAAACATTTACTTGGTATATGTACTGACACTTACTTGGTAAATGTAATCTGAATCAGTCTTGAGGGATGAGAACGACTGCTGATGTGGGAGTGACACTGTATCATCTTCCACATTGTCATCCACTTGTGCTTTGTAGGAAAACATTATGCTTGGTTGAGATATGCTGTAACACATAAAGCTTCCACATGTCAATGTCCACATGAAGCCCTTACAAAACACTGAAGACTGAGACACACAAGACAGTAATTTTATTGGTTGTACTATGGGGATGAAATATACATTGCAAGCATGAAACAAAACTGACAAAAAATTGTACTGAAAAAGAGAGATAAAGTAAGTGAGGAAGGGAGAACTCGTTATTTATTAACTTTCATTTGAATCACTTTTTATTACAGTAGTTTGTTAAAAACTACTCTGATTTATATCTAAAATAAACTAAAATTAAGGCCAATGAGATATACAAAACTGTATATAATCCGGCTGAAAGTATGTTTATCACATTACAGTGCATCAATCCATTTGATAATATGAAACACACTGAATGATCAACTTGAAAAAACTGACATTCAGTATATGAATGAATTAATGATTTTAAAGATTAAAACTGTGCAGTACTGAATGTTCAACTTTTATTTTCCAATAGGGATTTTAAAATAATAACAACTTAACTTCACCACCCTTTTTAATTAATGCTCTGCAGCACAATTTAAAATTAATGTACCCTTACACCAACAGACCAGTCAATTTAAAAAAATATGCAGGGCAAGGTAAATTTGGTATTCATAATGTGTACGTATTAACAGTCTTCAAGTGCATACAATCCCATTTACCACTTCTACACTACACACATCCAACGATACAACGCATGCAGCCAGAAGAGTAGAACACATCATAAGACATAATATACACACACATTAGATACATAAGAAGAACGACTCCCATGTGATGATCAATAATACACATGAATTTAAAATATGATCTATGGGATAATAGATTTTAACAAATTTTAAATACATAAACTTTATTATTATATAAGGATGTATGCAAATTTAATATTATTTGTAAATGGACATATAAAGACAAGCAGCGGAATAGTTGACGGATCGATACACCTGAAGATGGCAGCATATTGTCGAAACATGTTGTGTAGAAGTGGTAAATGGGATTCTGTGCACTTGAAGACTGTTAATACATACACATTATGAATATGAATCAGTGCAACAGGACGCTAAAATACAACATAAATTTGGTCTATGTTCCACTGCACAGGGTACAGCAAGGGTTAACGGGTTAACTGGTTAACTGTTGTGAATGCAACACAACCACCACACGCAAGAAGCATGTTGCACATTACAGACAGAGATGCTCAACCGAATGCTTCAAGAACTTTTGCAGAAAAAAAGAGGCATGTGATGAATGCCTTTGATACATACCGAGATTTAAAGAATCCATGCACACACCCACAAGTACCTGACAGGGTTCCTCTCCAGAAATGCACGTACAGTGGAACCTCGTTTAATGAGCATAATTCGTTCCAGAATCTTACTCATAATGCGAAACACTCGTTAAGCAAAACAATTTTTCCCATATAAATTAATGTAAAATACGATAATGCTTTCCATGCCGAAAAAATACTCAAAAAATTTTATGTATAACGTTTATTCAAAGAAAATTATATATACATTGTTAAGGAGCGTGAATCATCTTCATCTTTTCTTCTATGCGGAATGAACCAACCTGGAATGCAAATTCGATTTGCAGAAAAAAAAATCGAAATAATTAGTTTATTATTTATGATACATATCTAATTCTTTTTTACTAGAAAGCTGTCTAGAGACATTTGTTTTTGCTGACGCTTCAAAATTTGGTGAAAATGCAACACAGCATTATCATTAAATAAATTTGTAGCACACATAGCCACTGCCTTATTAGGGTGATGCTTCTCAATGTACGATGCAACAGTTTCCCATGCTTTCAGCATTTCTCTTATCGCGCTGCCTTATTAGGGTGATGCTTCTCAATGTACGATGCAACAGTTTCCCATGCTTTCAGCATTTCTCTTATTGCGCCAGAAGATTGTTGCTTTGCTGTTACCTCCTCCTGCTCTTCTGACAAACTCTCCTCCACAACTTCTTGCTGTGAAACACAGTGCAACTCCAAATCGTGCAAATCGTTGATGTGGACCGATTGTATGTGCGTGCTAGATCTGCCACGCTCACACCTTGTTCTCGCTTTTCAATAATTTTATGTTTCATTTCTACAGTTATTTTTATTCCCTTATGGCTGTCTTTTTGCAGCTTTTCCTTCGGCGACATTTTTGTAAGGGTTATTAAACTTTGCACAAAAAAAATCACAAATAATGTCTGAACACGAGTTTGGAAAAATGTGTGATCACAAGCGACACTAAGATGCTAGTGGAACGAGACACAGACTGATGTAGCAAGCGCGCATTCCGGAACTTCCCCTCTCGTCACTCGTTATGCGAAACGTTGCACGTTAAGCGAGTCATTTCTTTACAATATGTTTTGCTCATTATGCAAATTACTCGTTATGAGAGGTCCTCATTAAGCAAGGTTCCACTGTACTGCCCAATATATTCCTGCTAGAAATTACAAGCCTATTTGAGGGTAAACACAAGTTCAAAGAAAAACCCACAATACTTCCTCAGATCACCTTAAAATGACCATACATATAGGTAAATGCAAAAGCATAGATTATCGTGGAAGATTAGGTGTTTTTTTTAGAAATGTAGGTTAAAATATTGCCCCTTATGCAACTACATGAGCATCAAACCAGGGGAAACCTTTAAAACTACATTTCTGAAAAAGCACCTAAGCTTCCACGATAACCTAGGATAACAGTGAGAAGTGCAAGAAACAACAAGCAGGTTTTATTCCATACACTATTATATATGTATATATTGTATGATCTGCATGACAACAAGCAAGAAATAACACAAATAGCTCTCCCCCTTCAGCATACCAGCATACATCAATTGAAGATTGCTCATGACCAAGCACAGCTTCTAATCTGACTTTTAAATGGAACATGCAATTAATTTGTATGCTATTTATACTTTTAACATTTTTAATATTTCTATTTTCATATTTTTATTTTATCTTTATCTTTATAATCATAACACGAACTGTATACTAAATTGTAGAAATATACCTAATATACAAATACATATTCACTAGCAACACAGCCATCAGTTGCAAGAATACAGATGTGTGTTATAACCAATATTTTAATCACTAGAGTTATGTTCATAAGCGCCTGATGACAACCTAATTATGTGGTCGAAACATGTAGCATAGTTACATTGATATTAAACACATAAAACATATACCAACACCTATTGTCTTTATTGAAGATATTCGCATATTACTTGCTGTGTTAACAGTCATAATACAGCAATTATATCTCACATGTTTCTTCCTTGCATTCATAAACATCTTCAATGTACTTTTACACATGCAAGTTGAGGGGGCTGAGGTGTGGTGATCATGGTAATCAATTCTGCAAATCCCCATGGGCAATCGAGCAAAAAGAAAATGCTGATGCAGAAATTGTGTTGCATGTCAACTCATATGGGGACATTCCATAATGCTGGAAAAAATTTCGCAAGACTGCGGTCAGCGGTACACCTTCCAGCAAGCCCAGCAGCTCATGTTCCAAAAATACTATGTCAGCTGACCCTCCAAGAAGAATGGCCCTATGAGATAACCACAAATTACATCACACCATGTTAGTAGAACATGGATACTGCAAATCTGCTTCCACCGTAACACGTCGATTCCCACTGGACTATAAATGAGTTTCTTCTATTGTGCACCCCATTATGGGTAAACTGAATCTCACCAATGAATAAGATGTACTGATGAAGATGGGTGTGTGGGGCTAACCAGTGGCACAATTCCAATTGTCTAGCCAACTCTCCAGATTTCAGGTACTTCATTTTCTGGAGATGGTACACAGACCTCTGAAGTTTACTGTCCACCACACGGTTTTGTTTGGAACACTGAGGGAAGTGGAAATCTGTTGGGGTAATGGTATGTGGACTGTAATGCATCATTTCAATATTTCTTTCACCACGTTTCACCTCACAGCACATTCGGCTTGTGACAATACACTGGGAAATGTTCCTCTTTCTCACAACTCTCAATGGACAGTACAAAACACATGCCTATCATGGATTCTTCATCTCAGGAATCATCTTCACTATTCAACAATAACAGCAGCATCTCCATTGTGAAACTCGTAGCTGAAGTGCATGTCTGCATATTCTTCATTGTAAGTGGCATTTTGTCCATTCCATTCCCTATTACCAACACACACACACACACACACACACACACACACACACTCTCTCTCTCTCTCCCCCCTTCCCTCCCTCTCTCTCTCTCTGTGCAACCTGCTAGATGCTTCAATATGAACCTACATTCCAATATGTGCTTGTGCACTGACACCCAAACATTTCACCCAACACAACAGTTTCTCCTACCCATAGCTCTGCAAATGCTAAGAATCATATCCATGCTAATTTCATATTATCTCAGGAATAGCATACACAAGGTTCTATTGGAAAGTTCCCGGATTAGGTAAAAAAAAAAAAGAAACGGTGGCTTAACTTACATTTTCCTTAATGCTGTTAAGTACCACTTGAGATTCCCTCTGGATGTCAGACATTGTTTCAAAATGTTGTCCCTTTGGTGTCATTTTCAATTTGGGAAATAAACGAAATCAACTGGGGCTAAGTCCAGTGAGTAGGGAGGATGGGGAACAATAACCATGTTATTACTAGTCACAAACTCTTTGGTCTTCAGGGACAAACTTGGCGGCAATGCAGCACATGTTCAAATTTTCTGTTAAAATCTCCTCGCCAAGTCCATTAACTGATTCCAACGGTGTCTTTGTGCTCATAGAGTCTTTAGTAATGGTCTTTGTGGATGAGTTCTCAAATTTTTTCAACATTTTCTGTGGTTTTGCTGGTGCTTGGTCACCCTGAACATTCATTATCTTCAAGTGACACTTGATGACCAGCCTTCAGACATGAATGCCATTCAGAAACAGCTGTCCGGCTTAAAGAATGTTCCCCAAAAGCCTCACAGAGCATTTCACAGGTTTTGGTAGCGGATTTACTGAGTTTCACGCAAAAACTTG